ACAGGCCCCTGGACCTGAGGGCACCAAAGAAGACAAAGCCAGGGATCCTCCATTTCCCCCTGGGGACAAGCAGAAGCAGGGAGGGCACAGGACAGTGAGGACTCTCCTGCTGCCGGGCACCCCACAAACTCAACAGATCAGTGCACCCAAGCCTGTGCCCAGGAGCATCTAGGCCAGTGTGGACTGGGAGACTGCAGTCAGTTATTCGCAGGGAGCTGACTCCAGAGCTAGAAATCTGGCCATGGGTATTTTTTTCTCTTCTTTTTACTTTGCACCTGGGAGAGGCAGGACCACTAGGGAACAAAACCTGGCAAGGGATGGGGCATCTCCACCAAGGCACAGACACCTGAGAATCAGGTGCAACAGACCTCTCCCCGACAATTGCCGGAAGAACAAGGGAAAAGCAAGTTTACTGAACAAGCAGCACTGGAAAGCTCCAGGACTGAGGGAAAATAGTATATAGAACTAGAGGGTCTTTTTTTTTTATTTATTTCATTATGACTTGTTTTTATATCAGGTTAAAATTTTCCAATATTTTTTCTCTTTTCCCACCTTAACTACAATATTTTACCAAATCTTTATTTTTAAGCTTCTTCCTTTTTGACTTTCATATTTCTACAATTTACATGTAATTTCTAAAATTACATTATATTTTTCACTTTTGGTTTCCCTTCAATGTATTCAATTTAATTTTGGTACATATACAAGATATGGGTTTTTGATTTTTCTTTTTTCTGTCTCATTTTGTTTTACAATGGTGGAAGTTAGTACCTTCTAAAACATGACCAGCCAAGAACCAAGTAGAACATTGTGTTGGTTCATTCTGTGAGACTATTCTCTCTTCCTTCTCATTCTGCCCCCACTTTTATCATGTTTATGTTTTTTTTGGTCAACGTTGGGTCTTTATATAAGTTTTGCTGATTTATATAAATTTGGAATTGAGCATCTTCTAACATACAGAACAAAATACACTCAGAACTAAGAGGCTCAGGATCCCTGGGTGGCTCAGCAGTTTAGAAACTGCCTTCAGCTCAGGACATGATCCTGGAATCCCAGGATTAAGTCCCATATCAGACTCCCTGCATGGAGCCTGCTTCTCCCTATGCCTATGTCCCTTCCCCCCGCCCCACCCCGTGTGTGTGTGTGTGTGTGTGTGTGTGTGTGTGTGTGATGAATAAATAAATAAAATCTTAAAAAAAAAAAAGAGCTAAGAGACTCACCCTTTAGGTCCCCTCGTGGAGATTATATTCTCTCTCCACCACTACTTCCTCACCACCACCATCCTTCCCCCCCCCCTTTTTCTTTCTTTTCTCTTTTCCTTCTTCTTTGTTTTTGGTTTTTTATTTTTACTATTTTGTTTTAAAATTTGTTTTTCACTTTAATGGTCCTCTTGTTTTATTTTGTTCTGTTCTTCTTTTTCTTTTATTTTCTGGTCTCTGACTTCTTTGGAATCATCTAGGGTGTATTTTACTTAGGTTGTGGTTGATATTTTTGATTCAGTCCACTCATACAGACACCCTGCACTGGACAAAATAACTAGATGGAAGAACTCACCACAAAAGAAAGAACCAGAAGCAATGAGTTACTAAACGTGGATTTTGCCACATAGTTAAAATAGTTTAAATAGTTTAAATACAATATCAGAAATTCAATTCAGAAGTACAATTATAAAGTTACTGGTGGCTCTGGAAAAAAGGGATAAAGGACTCTAGAGACTCTTACTGCATAACTGAGATCTAATCAGGCTGAAATTAAAAATACTTTAACTGAGATGCAATCCAAACTGGATGCTCTAACTTCTAGGGTTAATGAGGTCGAAGAAAGAGTAGAAGATATAGAAGACAAGTTGATGGAAAGGAAGGAAGCTGAGGAAAAAAGAGAAAAACAATTAAGAGCCCAGAAGGAAAGGCTTAGGGAAATAAATGATAGCTTGAGAAGAAAGAATATATGTCTAATTGAGATTCCAGAGGAGGCTAAGAGAGAGAGAGGACCACAAAGTATATTTGAACAAATCATAGCTGAAAACTTCCCTAATCTGGGAAGGAAACAGGTATTCAGATCCAAGAGATAGAGAGAACCCCCTGAAAATCAATAAAAACCATTTAGCACCTCAACATTTAATAGTGAAACTTGCAAATTTCAAAGATAAAGAGAAAGTTCTTTTTTAAAAAAGATTTTATCTATTTATTCATGAGAGAGAGAAAGAGAGGCTGAGACACAGGCAGAGGGAGAAGCAGGCTCCAAGCAGGGAGCCTGACATGGGACTTGATCCTGGGTCTCCAGGATCACACTCCCGGCTGAAGGCAGCGCTAAACAGTGAGCCACCTGGGCTGCCCAAAGAGAAAATTCTTAAAGCAGCTGGAGACAAGAGATTCTTAACTTATATGGGGAGAAATATCAGATTAACAGCAGACCTCTCCACAGAGACCTGGAAGGTCAGAAAGGGCTGGCAGGATATATTCAGGGTACTAAATGAGAAAAACATGAATACTTTATCCAGAAACGCTGTCATTCAGAATAGAAGGAGAGATAAAGAGCTTCCAGGATAGACAGAAACTGAAAGAATATGTGACCACAATACCAGCTCTGCAAGAAATATTAAGGGGGACCCTGTAAAAGAAAGAGGAAGCCCAAAGAAATGATCCACAAAAACGGGACTATATAGGTAATACGATGACACTAAATTCACATCTTTCAATAGTTACTCTGAATGTGAATGGGCTAAATGACCCCAGGAATACTTTATCCAGAAACGCTGTCATTCAGAATAGAAGGAGAGATAAAGAGCTTCCAGGATAGACAGAAACTGAAAGAATATGTGACCACAATACCAGCTCTGCAAGAAATATTAAGGGGGACCCTGTAAAAGAAAGAGGAAGCCCAAAGAAATGATCCACAAAAACGGGACTATATAGGTAATACGATGACACTAAATTCACATCTTTCAATAGTTACTCTGAATGTGAATGGGCTAAATGACCCCATCAAAGACCGAGGATATCAGACTGGATAAAAAAGCAAGACCCATCTATATGCTGTCTACAAGAGACTCATTTTAGACCTAAGGACACTTCCAGCCTGAAAATGACGGGGTGGAGAACCATTTACCATTCAAATGATCCTCAAAAGAAAGCTGGGGTGGCAATCCTCAAATCAGATAAATTAGAGATTATACCAAAGACTGTAATAAGAGATGAAGAGGGACACTATATCATACTTAATGAATCTATCCAACAAGAAAACCTATTAATTATGAATAGTTATGCCCCTAATGTGGGAGCTGCCAAGTATATCAATCAATTAATAACCAAAGTAAAGAGATACATAGATAATAATACACTAATACTGGAAGACTTCAATGTGGCACTTTCTGCAAATGACAGATATTCTAAGCAGAACATCACCAAAGAAACAAGGGCCTTCAGTGATGCACTGGACCAAGTAAATTTCTGGAATGTTATAGAACATTCCATCCAAATGCAACATACTTCTCGAGTGCACATGGAACTTTCTCCAGAATACACCACATACTGAGTCACAAATCAGGTCCCAACTGATACCAAAAGATTGGGATTGTCCCCTGCATATTTTCAGACCACAATGCTTTGAAACTAGAACTCAATCACAAGAAGAAATTTGGAAGAAACTCAAACACATGGAGGTTAAAGAGCATCCTACTAAAAGATGAATGGATCAACCAGGAAATTAGAGAAGAATTACAAAGATTCATGGAAACTAATGAAAATGAAAATATAACTGTTCAAACTCTTTGGGATACAGCAAGTGGTCCTATGAGGGAAATACATCTCAATACAAGCCTCCCTCAAAACATTGGAAAATATTAAATATACAAGCTAATTTTGGACCTAAAGGAATTGGCCTCATTGTTATATGTCCTGTGGCTCTAATGCAGGAAGCCTTGTCTCTGAAGCTTATTAGCTATGTTATTAGCATAGCTTTCAAGGCAACATGAGGGCAATCTATATAGTTTTTTATTTCCCCACATGATTCACCTGTTCAACCACATTTAGCACCCCTGTAGTGGAAGATTTTAGTATACTTGTTTCCTGTACATCATAATTTAGCATTTATAAACTATCTTGAAGTATTTAAAGTGTCATTTACCAGGTTATTTGACATATATTATCAAGTTAAGATATAAACACAATTTTGCTTTTTTTGTCTTTCAGTAATATTTAGATTTTTTGAACCAAATTAACCCACTCAGAGGTGGATGAAGAATTTAGAAAATGTCAAGGACAGTGTCTGATATCTATTATATGCACTGCTTAGTAACATTTATATGGGGAAACCAAATGGACTGTTTTGGGGGCATAGTCAAATGGTGTCAAAATGCTTTGGTCAAAATCATGTGCTAAATGTCATTCAATTAGTTTTACCCCCAAAAGAAACCAAGAATCTTTTTAACAATAAAGCCTAGTGTAGCCAAAACATCTGGAGGGAAGATGACAGTGATGTAAGAGCTGTCTTAAATGTTTCACATGGCATAGTTGAAAAATGAATGGATTTTGATTTAATTTCCACCATGATGAAAAACTTAATGTTTTTCCTGGATGGAGAAGCAGACTGATTTTTTTCACAAGTTTTCATAAATAAAATACATTTTCATAATATTAAAAATAATTTGTATACACATATCTTAATAGTGTATTCCACAGAAAAAATTAAAGGAAAGGGTCATGTCATACCTTGGGCATTCTCTTAGCACACAGATCATACTTTTTGGATACTGAAGTCCTTCATAATATATTCTTCATAGTATATAAGTTCTTATATAGTCAATGAACATATTTGTTAAATACCTCACAATAAAATGTACATCATAAAAATACACAATTTCAATTTATCAAATCTGAAAAAACTTTTAGGCATTAGCTAATGATGAATTCAGAAAGTAATCCCACACATGTGTTCCTTCTCTCTTATTCCTGCTCTTTCTCATAAACATGAAAGAAAAACATAAATCGAGTTTTGCCAAATAGTGTAATTTTTATTATAGCCTTAAACCATATTTGTTAACTTGTTGGTTAAAAACAAGAAGTGGGAATCTTGCAGATATTAAAATAATAGTATATGGAAAGGCACATTCAAACACAGTTGACAGAATGAGAATTGGTTCAATCTGACATATCCATCAATAAAAAAATGCACAAACCCTTTTGACCTGAAGTTCCACTCAGGGAAGTTATTCTATAAATATACTTAAACAAATACAAAGAGACATATCCACAAATAACATTCTACATGGTATTGTTTATAATACCAAAACAAACAAACAAAAAAACTTAAAACAACCTAAATTTTTATCACTAGGGCTGTGGTTAATTAAATTATGATTTAGCCATATAATGGAATTTTACAACCATTAAAAAGAATGAGGTAGCTCTGCTTGTATTGATATAAAAGGTCTCCAAGACCTATTATATTATTAGCTTTCTATAACTACAGAGGAGCATCATGATATATTCCCATCTTTGTCTTAACAAGGAGATAGGTATGATATGTAAATAGACATAAATGTACACACATACCTTCGGTGTACAGATATATATGTACATAAAATTTTCTGGATGAATACATAAAAGATGTTGATTGTTCCTTCTGCAGATTTCCTTCTTGAGGAAACTCAATTTTCATTATCTACCATACTGAACAATTTGAGCTTTATCATGAGCATTTGTTTTCTTTGTATCAATATCAGTTCTTCAGAGAAATAGCTAATATCAGCTAACATTCTAAAAATTTCAATTGTATAAGGATATGAATTCAAACCTTTAAGTGTCTTCTCAGAATCTTTGAAAAGCTAATCTCAAAATAGGGTTTCCTTGTCAGAACTCTAAGAAAAGCATAATAGTAGCTGTGCTATATCTTAATTCTTTTGTCCTGCTGTTAGATTCCAGTAATTTATGAAGTATGGAGACATACAGCCCTCAACTTCACTTTGTAACACCTGAGACCTCATCCCTTGCTCACAGTATCGTAGAGTGGATTGTTCTTTTCTGTGTAGCTGGCATAGGGCTGCATTTCATCCTAAGAAAGAATTCAAAGTCAAAATCAATTTAAAAAAGCCATGAGTCATCAACTACCTATGTTGATCTAACAGATGCCCACAGATTTAGTATCTACCAAGAGTGCTTATATTTGTGTCTCTGTGCTTACATGGATATAATAGAAAAAAAGAAAGACTTTTTTCTATTATTTTGTCAAAAAATGTATTGCTTATTTAAGTCTCAGTGTGAGATGACAAAGTTTGCTTGATAGTAGGAATGGAGAAGAATGAAGTAACAGAAGAGGTATTTCAAAGGAGATGATCAAAGACTTCATAAGCTACTGGTTATGAGATTATCGAGCAGGAGAAGATTTAGCTCAGGTAGAAGGGAAATGATGGTATGGAGAAACGGAAAGGAAAGAATTGGAGATGGTTTCATGGAGGAGTAAAGATCAATTCAGTTTCTCTAAACATTACATTCCAAATTTGGCAAACATTATGTGTTTTTTAGGAAACAATTCTTGAAATGAAAATATTGTTCAGAATGTGTATAAATAGTACATGGTAGGTAATTAACAAACTAAGTACACTTGACTGTTAGCATATTGAAATTCGATTTTTTGCTTTTAATTAAAATACTAATATTGATGCAATGTACGATTATACGGCTATATTCGATTTTGTGGCTTAAAAGATTGCAAACTTTTTAATGTTATCTTACCTCCTCAACAACTGTAGTGGCTTCTTTTCTTCCTAATTTGCATTTTCTGCAAAAATAAAAATTAGCTGAAGTGAATGCAGAAAATATCATTATTTAATTAAAAATGGGAAAACAAAACAGTATACTATTGACAAGTGTGGTTTATTTTTTATAGAAGCCATTAACAAAATAGAATGGAATTATCAGAAATAAGAATGCTGCCTGTAGTTAATACACCTAAATGAGATAATTCTTTATTTGGTAAAAGGAGTGGAATTATGCAACAGAAGCCTGATTTTGGAATATATGTGACACATCTTTTTGGTACAAAATGAATTATTGTAATTCTTTTCTCAAATACAGAAAAACATACACTGTCTCTCCCAAGATCTTGTCCTAAATGGTCTATATCCCTATGCTCGCACGCCCAAGTAACCAAGCAAATGTCTCTTGTCATTTAGAGTATTTCAAAGCTAACACCTTTAGGACACCCTTCTTGATTACGGGAGAGTTGGTGTTAACATATTAATGTTACCCCATCATGCCATATATCTGACCCCTTCTAGCCCAATAAAACTGAAGAAGAAAAAGCATCAGTTAATACCTGCAGCCACAGATTTTGAACAGCAAAATGGAACCTATGATGATGAATAAAATCAAAATAGAGAGGATGATATATAGAATATTCCAATTTAGTGGTGATTTGTGACCTGTAAATATAGACACAAAAATATATGGTTTAATTGTGGCACATCCAGACAATGGAACATTATTTAGCACTAAAAAGAAATGAGTTATCAAGCCATAAAAAGACATGGAGGAAATTTATTTGCATATTACTCAGTGAAAGAAACCAATTTAACAATGCTACATCCTGTATGATTCCAAGTATATGACATTCTGGAAAAGGCAAAACTATGGAGACAATGAAAAGATCAGGGGTTACTGGAGGCTAGGGTGGAGGGAGGGATGAGTAACTGGAGCAGAGAGGACCTTTAGGACAGTGAAACTACTCTCTATGAAACTACCATGGTGGATATGTGCCACTTCTACACTTGCTAAAACGCATAGGCTAAACACCTAGAGTGAACCCTAATTAAGCTATGTTTTATGAGTGATAATGTGTTAATGTAGGCTCATCAGTTCTCATAAATGTATCAGGGTGTTGGAGATGGACAGAAAGGGGAGACTGTGCATGTGTTGGGGCAGGGGTTATATGAAAACTCTGTAATTTCTACTCAATTTTGCTGAGAACCTAAAACTGCTCTAAAAACTACAGTCTATTTAAAATATGTAATATAACTAAAAAGTAAAATATTGGAGATATCTATCTAAAACAGTTTGTTTTTAAACATTGCATTTCTCTGTCTTTTATTCGAAAAAGAAAAAAAAATTTACAGCCAAAAGCAATAGCATTGTTTTGAAACCCTCTCCTTAAAAGAATACATACTCTTTCATTGGAAGTATAGCTACAGAAGCTGAGGATCCCTCCTGCAAGGTGACAGGGAGGAGATCTAATGACTAACTGGCAGTGGATGAGACAGTCCTTTTGATTCTGAGAGTTCATAAACATAACATCACATCACAATAGCAGGGGTAAGATTGCATGCATACACAGGGCACAATTATTCTCCTCAGTAAATACTGCTAAAATGTTTTTAAAAATCAATTTAACAATGGATATTGGAAAATGTTTCAAGACGTGGGTTTTCTCTTCTTTCTTCTTAAACCTTAATTATCAGTAGGAAAATTTTTTAAGTAGAATTTTTAAATATAGAAAATGAACATGGATGAAGATGAGGAGATGAATAATTTCGACTTGTTTTTAGGTGAAAAATGTACAGAAGAAGACAAATAATTTAGGGTGGAATAAGTAAGAATCTTAATATCCATAGAACACCAAGAAGACACTGGAATAGGAAGGGCTAAGTCTAATAAAAAGGGGCAAGTGTGTGGGGGGTGAGGTGTGAGCTAAAAGTTGGAAGCTTCTTTGAAGGTCTGTACTGAGAAAAGACAGGCTGCCAAGTCCACTCTCACCCTGTGCAGCCAGGCCACCATATCTCCCTCAAACAGCAGAAACAAGAAGTTTGGCCCCAGAAAAGATGACCTGTAGAGATTCAGAGTCAAGGATCCAGACATAGTGGAATGTGGAGAGGGAGTACCAGGCTGAAGAGAGGAGATATTAAAGAAAAGTCTGAGTTCTACAGTCTCTCTCTCTCTCTCTCTCTCTCTCTCTCTCTCTCTCACACACACACACACACACACACACACACACACACACACACATGCTCCACTCTTATTCCCTGCCCCCATCACATTAATAGTCAGGGTTATCCCTCTAAGACAATAGACTGGAGAATAATTTTCTGCAGAACCTAAACAGTCCAGAGAAAAGACCTTCAGATAACCAAAGAATCCATATTTAAAATTTTTTTTCATTTACCTCCTTTTGGCCTATTGAAGCTAACTAATTGATAGCATCACCCACAGATAACATAGCTCCAGATCAGGTAATTTTTGAAATCTCACTTTGAAATGAATGGATAGCCAAGGATTACCAGAGAGTAAAGGAAAGCCTCATACATAAAACACAGAGATTAAAACTAGCAAAAGTCTGGAATACAGAAGGAACTCAGATTAAACAGACATGGAATCAAGCAGAACACTATGGAGAGTGTCCAGGACACTCTGGTTGTGCCGATTGTGCTGGTTGTGCCCAGATTAGTGACTAACCAGGCCAGGTTAGAACAAGAGTATGTAAAACTTCATACAGGATATCTTTAAGAAAAAAAAAAAATAGAACTGATGGATTACCCAAAAAATTTGATCATGTGGACAGTAGTATTAAGATGGATTTTCTAATCTTCTCAGTGAGCTTAGTGATAATTAACATTAAGTACATATATATTTAGGAAAATAAAAAGTAAAGGTTAAATCAATGATTGAGATTATTATAGTATACTTAAGAAATTCTAGGCAGAACCTGGGGAAGAAAATCCCACCAAACTAAAAAATTGTGAAGAAACTTAATGAGTAAAAAAAAAAAAGAAAAGAAAAGAAACTTAATGAGTGACACAATCCTTCTTATAAACAAACATTTATTTAAAAATACAATTTATCCTTCTCCTAAAACCATAAGCATTAATTAAAAAGTAAACTACTCAAGCCAACTGACTACTTGTATACAGTGGACATTAATATTAAATTCTTTTTATTTTAATTAATTAAATAAACTTCATTCTAAAATATGGCTTCTTAAAAACAATTTTCTGCGTTCTTCTTCTGGACATAACTCTTAATCATGGAGGAGAAGGACATAAAAAAGAGGATGGGGACATCATCCTTGAGTGAAATGCTCCACATCCTCCATTTTCGTTCTATAACTTCTCTGAAAAAATGAAGATATCAAGCAAAACCTCGAATCACTAACCTGGATTCATCTCAATGGACAGACTCTTGTTGCCAGTCACATGGGAGACAAAGCAGGACACCTCAGACACCTGGCGGTCCTCCCAGTGGCATGTACTCTGCACGGTCACTGTGTCATTGTCCAGTCGTTCTTCCACAGTGTGACAATCTCCCGTTGGGGTCCAGGAGATCTGTGCAGCTGGGCTCCCTGCAACTGCCCAGCACACGGTAGTTCCATTCTCGCCTAGAGACAGGGTCACCTTAGGGGGCACTGCAGAGATACAGGGGAAAATGTTTCAGGCTCAACACATGCGATATGGACTAGAGACAGACCTTTGGTTCAGTCTCAGATCTGGTTCTCTGGCATACCACAGTACGCGAGGCTACTTACCTAACACTCGGAGGTGATGCCCATGACAGAAATTCCCATCAGGTGTGACCACTTCACACTTGTAATATCCTTCATGAGTGATGGCCACGGGATTAATCCGAAGGGCAAAGTTCTGATCGGGTCTGGAGTCCCAGGATATTCTCTCGTCTGTACAAGTTTTTTCACTGGTCTTGTTGTTATCTGTCCTGTAGGCTCTGGTGCAGGAAGTCTTGTCTCTGAAGGCTACTGACCATGTTACTACCACAGCATCCGAGGTGGCATTAGGGCAATGGAGCACAACCCTTGTATCCACAAATACAGACAGAGAAGTGTTGGCTGGACACACACACAAAGAGAAGGAGAAAACAGAAGCGTGGTGAACAACTTCATGTGCACATTTTCCACAACATATTACACATGACTTTCCTGGTGATCTTATTCCAAAAATGTTAGACTTAGGTAAAAATAAAAATGCACATAATGTATGCTAATGTACATTATGCTAATCCGGAGATGAACCCATTTCTCTCCTACATTTGTGTTATTAGATAAAGTATATTTACTATATGTACAAGAAATATTTAAAGGGCTTAAAATTAATTCAGAAGTTTGGTATAAAACAAAAAGGAAACAATATAAATTAAAGGACAAAGTCATCCAAATCTAATCTTTTGGTCATAGAAACTATTAGAATATCTTATAACTCGCACTCCTCGAAATAGAAAGTGGAAAATTGCTGATGTGGTCTTCTCCTCCTAAGTTTTGATTTGAAAGAATAGATCAGTAATATCAGAACAAAATGCCTAACCCTAACGTTGCCATTTCAGATAAACATAAATAAAAACGGGTGAGATGGCATTCAGGTTGAGCAAGCTGAACTTTCTTAAGTTATTGTTTATTTCGAGAATCCCAAAGACAAAATCAGCAGATCATCCTTCCTTCCTTCCAACTGAGTCACACGCACACCGCCAAACAGTCCCACTGGGAACTCTGCTCACAGATTTCATTTCTGTATGTTCTACCAAATTATGAGAATTAAATGAAGAAGTTCACTGCTTTTGTCTATCTTTAAAGTAAAACTTCCGCCCTGCCGCCTACAAGTATTCTCCAGTACAGAAACTCCAGCTCTCCCATAAACACACATAATGCATCCATGACTGGGGGGGGGGGGGGGCTTGAGGATACATTAGGAGCATCACATATCACATACCTGCTGTACCCAGGTGAGTGGCAGGGAGCTCATCATTTTAACGTGAGTGGAACCTGCTGTGGCGGGGCAAAGTTCTTACGTGGGTGAAGTTTTTGTGCTAAACTCCGCATTTGAGATCTCTCCTCTCCTCTTTTGGTATCTTGTATTTGCCTCTTGTGTTATGGACTCAAGCCCTTGCATTTCAAAGCCAAATCAAGATCCCATAACTACAGGAAGCAGGGGGGGCGGGGGTTTGTTTAGAGTAGATCCGAGGGGCAGTTAAATTCATGCTCCTTCCACCATGCACGTGGCTCCACACCCCATGCTCAGGGAACCTGCAACTTGGCCAAGGCTTAGAAGTGAGCAGCAACACCATGGCTTGGAGAGGAGCTAGAGGTGGGTGTGGGCGAGCATACATGTGCCCAAGGGCAGGACGCTGAAGATGAAACCAGAAACAGAGAGGGTTGTGAGCAGCATGTTTATGACTTCCCCATGAAGCTTAGCACAGTGCCTGATAGAGAGAGCTCCATAATCTTCACAGGGAATTGAACTGCTTTAGGAGAGGAGGGTCAGGGTCATGCATGGTCCCTCCCCCCGTTGCGTTCAGATCACCATGCTCTTCAACTGGCTCAAAATTGTCCCCCTGACCAGACTGTCAACTATGTTTCTAAGGATGTTGAACACTTCCTCCCTTTAGTACTGGCCTCTAGAAAAAAATTAAAAAGCATATTACCTTCCACAGGAGGTGTGATGCTTTTCTGCTTTCTTTCCACAGGTAACATATTTGTTGAAGCTAGAAAATATTCAGAAGAAAGTAAAAGAAATCAATTTTTGGTGCCTAAATGGAGTGCAAGGTACTATGTACCCACAAAACTTATAGACACCATGATAGAAAATGAGTTAAATATAAATAAATTTAACAAAAAGTTTTGCAAGGCAGAAATTAGAAGTTTTTCCATCAGGAAGTGGAAATACATGTTAACACTTGAAAATTACATAGAAACTCTTAGTCAGCGATGCCATTTATGGGACACCATGTTTTTTACTTGACAGCAATTTCCTACAAGGTAACCTGACTCCGCCACTTCCCTAGTCACAGTGGATTGGTCCATCATTGGTGGCTCACTTGAGCTGAGCTGAGTATAGTACTTTTCCAGTATAGTACTTTCTGCATTACTCCAGAAGGCTCCTAACATCTTCTCTGTCTCAAACCTCTCTTCTTCTCAGTTCATACCTTACCTTGCAGCTGTGTACATGATTCTGTAACACAGGGGTGATCCCCTCCACTCAGACACCCTTCAGAAATCTCTTACCACCTGAAGACAAACTTACATGTCTTTGTATCGGCTTTTCAAATTGACCCCAAGAGTCAATTTGCTTGAGTCAGTGGTGGGTACCTCACCCAGCTGCCAAATCAGAGTACTTTCTCAAGTATTTTGGAACCATATTGAGAAGATTCGCTCTCCCCAACACCCTCCTCTCATTTTTCCTACCGTGATGGCTAATTCTATGTGTCAACTTAAAGTTGGCTAGGCCATGGCACTTGAGTATTTAGTTAAACATTATTCTAGATGCATCTGTGAAAGTATTTTTTAGATGAGATTTACATTTAAATCAGTAAACTTTGAGTAAAACAAATTACCCTCTAGAATGTGGGTGGGCCTTATCCAATCACTTGAAGACCTCAATAGAAAAAGATTGACCTTCTCGAAAAGGGAATTCTCCCAAAATACTGCCTTCAGATTCAGACTGCAACTCTTCCTGGGTCTCCAGGCTACTGGCCCACTGTGCATATTTTCGATTCACCAAGCCTCCACCATCATGTGAGCCAATTCTTTAAAATAAATCTTTCTCTAGTTACACAGATAAGTAGATAAGTAGATACGTAGGTAGGTAGGTAGATAGACTGATAGATCTCTTCTTGTTCTGTTTCTTTTAGGAAGCCCGACTAATCTAATTACCTTCTGAAGAATGTCACAGAAACAAAGAAGAAAAAGGACATTATTCACCTAGCTCAAGTTTCTAAATCTGTATAGCGCCCGAGATCCACATGTATTCCTTCCCTTGCATTCTGTAGAGTTACTGACAATCAGAATAGTTCTAATCTACTTCAAACTTGATTTCTGAGAAATTCCCATTTAAGTACTGTTTTTTAAAAACAACAACAATGAAAAACTAATGCTTCTCTGATTTAAGAACCTAACAAAGTTCTTCCTCTGGGTTTATAAGATCACTATTCAATAAGCATTTTATGAGCCCTCTTCTTATAAAAATATACTTCTTGCTCCCATTCTAATTATGTACCCAATTCTACCACATTAAAAAATAAAGAAATTCACTAAAGGTCTTAGAAATAAGCGGTGTTCAGGCCTCTAAAATAATTAGGCTTTTTTAGGCAACTAAGTTTTACTGATGTGGTCTGGAAGGAAGGCAAAGAATGATGTGGTAATGATTAAATTTAGCTCCTATTGGACTAAATAATCTACTCCAGAAACAGATAAGAAGTCAGAATTGACCTCAGAGGGCTTACTGAAATCAAGCTATAACTTAGATATTCTAGAATTTAAACCTCCATTATAAACAATATAACAGCCTTTCCAGACCTCTCCCAGCTTCTCAGAAGTCTAAGGTCTGACAGTTTCTTCCTTTGTCAAATTCACCAGCAAACAAGACTGAGGGTTTATAATGAGAGAAAATTTAGGATGTAGGTAGTTTTGATGATGGTATTGTAGTTTCCATTTGGAGTGTCAAAAGGAAGTTTCTAAGTTGTATTAGGAATAAGGGGTATGACTGTGGAAGGAGCCTTGGTGTCCATCGAAAGATGAATGGATAAAGAAGATGTGGTCTATGTATACAATGGAATATTCCTCAGCCATTAGAAATGACAAATACCCACCATTTGCTTCAACGTGGATGGAACTGGAGGGTATTATGCTGAGTGAAATAAGTCAATCGGAGAAGGACAAACATTATATGTTCTCATTCATTTGGGGAATATAAATAATAGTGAAAGGGAATATAAGGGAAGGGAGAAGAAATGTGTGGGAAATATCAGAAAGGGAGACAGAACATAAAGACTCCTAACTCTGGGAAACGAACTAGGGGTGGTGGAAGGGGAGGTGGGTGGGGGTGGGGATGAATGGGTGACGGGCACTGAGGGGGGCACTTGACGGGATGAGCACTGGGTGTTATTCTGTATGTTGGCAAATTGAACACCAATAAAAAATAAATTTATTATAAAAAAAACAAAAAAATGGAATAAGGGGTATAAGTAAGGTGGGCTGGGGATTACTGGAAAAGAACAATCAAAATCTGCAAACTTTTTCCATAAACGACCAAAGAATAAACATTTAAGGTTTGCAGTCCATATGGTTTCCACTGAAAGTATTCAATCCTGCCATTGTAGCAAGATGGCAGCCATATATAATACAAAAATAAATGGGCATAGCTTTTTTCCAATAAAACTTTAATTATAAAAATGAGCTGGCTGGATTTTGCCCATGGGCCATAGTTTACTGACTCTTAATTTGAAGGTATAGTACTGTTTGTTCAAATTTCTTGCATTTACCACAATGAGAAATAAAAATAATAAACATCTATTCAGAATTTTATTTGGTACCTGCTTAGTTTGCCTTTTAAAAATAAACTAAATCTCCACTGACCACTCCAAGTTCTCCCTCAAGTGAAATAAATGTCCTATTCTATTTTTACCATAAATAGTAATTCTTTCCTTCCTTCCTGTCCCTCCTTCTTTCCTTTCTTCCCTCATTCTTTCCTTCTTTTCCTTACTTTACATGAAGTGTGGCAAGTATTAAGGGCACCTAAAAGGACTGGCTAGGAATAAGAAGTAAGAAAGAGGAATAAGAAAACTGCAATAAGTCCTGCCCCCTTCCTAGCCAGGAGAGATGTCTGGGACCAAGAGAGGGCCACCATGATAGACAAAGGTTAGTCTAGTACATGATGGTTTTCTGTTGTGGTCATTTTGGCCTCTGCAGCCCTGAAAACTGCTTCTATTTTAAAGATACAGACTGTTGTCAATGGAAAGTTCAAGAAACTCAGTCTTGACCAATAGCTCTAAAGAGTTTCTTCTAGCCTTTGGGTTTTACTCAATATGCCCTGTAGGTATTGTTACTTTTAGTGACAAAGCAAATGATGTTCATGCTCTGAACTTCTAAGCTGTTACCATCTCAGTGGACTCTTTTTTAGCCATCTTGTCTGGGAATATGGGCAATTTAATTCTTATGAGATATAACTAATTCCGTATCTGGATAGTACAGGATTCTGTTAGAAGAACCTGGTCTGGCATTAACTGATGTCTTCACAACTGATTTGAATAAAGTTTTCAAGCATCTTTCTCAATGATCTCCCAGAAGGCTGGAGTGTGAAAGAGACCTTCTGCCTATTAAAGGTATTCCAGTGAGTAGAGGTGCATAGAAAAATCTGCCTCTAGAACCAGATATCAAATTCTCCTATAATCGAGCAAAAGAGGCCTCCTTCCAAAGAATGCCCTGAGAGGGAATATCAGTAAATTATCCCTGGGACTTCTCATGCTGGAGATAAAACCCACAAGTCGGAATGTACTCTTAAGTGTACAAAATTATTGTTTTCAGAAGAGAAAAAAAAAACGCTTTATTTTCACAAATATTCCTGTAATTATTTTTATGATATTGGAAATGCTTCTTAATGCTTCTAGTTACCATAGAATGCAAATTTCATATCAAGTATCTTCATTGAAAATAGAAAGTGTTCTTATTCAATCTTGCTTGAAGCTTCATGTACATCAAAGTAGTAAAACAAAGGCATCGACTTTGATCAACGGTCCTGTGATTTCTTTCTTTAATTTCTTTAAATGAAAGATTTAGAGACACCTGGGTGGCTCAGAGGTTGAGCGTCTGCCTTCAGTCCTGCGATCAAATCCCACATCGGGCTCCCTTCAGGGAGCCTGCTTCTCTCTCTGCCTGTGTTTCTGTCTCTGTCTCTGTCTCTCATGAATAAATAAATAAAATCTTTAAAAAAAAATAAATGAAAGCTTTAAATTTTCTTTAAAGTTCAGAAAGTTTTACATTGTTAACATCAGAAGTCGAATTTAACACTTTCACAATGTATGTATATATATATATATATATATATATATATATATAGAGAGAGAGAGAGAGAGAGAGAGAGAGAGAGAGACAGACAGACAGACGGAGACAAATGTGAATTGCTTTTTAAAATATATTTGTAGGGGTGCCTGGGTGGCTCAGCGGTTAAGCGTCTGCCTTCTGCTCAGGGTGTGATCCTGCAGTGCCCGGATCGAGTCCCATGTGGGGCTTCCTGCATGGAGCCTGCTTCTCCCTCTGCCTGTGTCTCTGCCCCTCTCTCTGTGTGTGTGTATCTCATGAATAAATAAATAAAATTTTTAAAATAAAATACATTTATAGTATAAAAGTAGCTTAATTTATCTTTGTATTAGTCACCTGGGGCTGCCTTAACTTATAATGATCAACGTGGTCACATAAAACAACAGAAATGTATTCCCTTGTATTTCTGGAAGTCAGGAGTCTGAAAGCAAGGTGTTATCAGGGCTTGTTCCTACCAACAGCTCTAGGGAAGAATCCTTCCTTGCTTCTTCCACCTTTTAGTGGCAGCCAGCAATCCTTGGTGTTCCTTGGCTTGTAGATGTATCATTTCAATCTCTACCTCCATCTTCGTATTGCCTCTCCATGTCCTCTCCTTTTATCTTCCCTTCTTAGGACTCTTGTCATTGGATTTAGGACCCACTCTCATCAAGGATGATCTCATCTCAAGGGCTTTAAGTTAATTACATCTCCAAAGACCCATTTTTATAAATGCAGCCACATTCACAAGCTTCAGTTGGACATTTCTTTAGGGAAGGGACACCATTCAACCCACCATTCTGGGGGGAGCACCAATGATGCATTGTTTCCAACCCTTTTATTTATAGTTTATACAGCTACTTTACTTATTTTTATCCAGTAGTTGACCTGGAATCTAATTTTTCTATATAGTGAATAATTGAGTGTAGTTAGAAAGTATACTTATGAGTCCAGAAATGCATTTTAGAATCACTGGAATTATTTTTCAATGAAGTGAGGTATATAACAAAAATAAAAACTTTTTTTTTCAAAAATAAAAACTTAAAATATAAAGAAAAATCTAACTACAATGGCAACTTTGGTAGACAGTAGGGCTGGGTGGGAAACACAGTCAATAAATTACAAATATCTGCTAAGACCTATTTTTTAAACCTATGTTCCAAAAATTGAATGAAAAATGTAACTTGTGTTTCAAAAATTGAATGAGAAAAATTTTTGATACACCATTGGTTTGCTTAGTGATCACATTCTTGAAAAAGGCACTAAATAAGCACAGAAGTAATTTTAGAATGAAAAATTTATGAACACTCTTAATAAAATAAATAATATTTTATTTAGACTACTTCAGACAATATAGTCTATAAATACATGTAAGACTATTCAAGATCTTAAACATAAATATACCATCATCAAGCATGCTTCTAGTTGAATCAATATGTGATGACCATTACCCAAGCTGTAGTTGTCCTTACCCATTTGGTACTGTGTTAAGTTGTTTGGTGTACCAGGACTTTCTGCTCCTGTACCTATGCACTCTGAAAAGACATATGAGATGATCAAAAGGATACACAGTAGTATTTCTGACTCCTAGTTAAATCAGACTTTTTTCACATTCTTCAGGCCATTTTTGGATTGCGGTTGACAATAAAAACATAAATTATGACAGGCAAGAATTCTCAGGCCAATTTTCCCAGTAGGAACTTTTGACTTGAACACCCTATCTGTTTGGCATACCTCTACTTTAGATCCAAAGTGTCTATCACCACCCTCCTGTTTTTACATTCAAGTCATTTCTTTTTTTAAAATATTTTATTTATTTATTCATGAGAGACACAGAGAGAGGAAGAGACATAGGGAGAGGGAGAGGTGGGCCCCTTGCCCGGAGCCCAATATGGAACTCCATCCCAGGACCCAGGGATCATGCCCTGAGCTGAAGTCAGACGCTCAACCACTGAGCCACCCAGGCATCCCCATTCAAGTCATTTCTTATGTGCATTTAATCAACCTCCAACTGTGAAAGAAAGCATTTTACTATTCATTACAGGCTTTTCAGGACCATTCAGGAGATAAAGTTTAGTAGTAATGTGTTCTTTCGGTGCTGGTTTGGAGCAAAAAAGGATTCTCCTAAGCTGTGTTGAAATCATACCATATAAACAACTGTCTATTACATTCAAATTTTGTAAGGTAAGCTCTAAGTGGGAACTGCTAGTAAACATTTTTTTTTAGCACTACACCTGGCAAAGTATTCACTGAGCATAGAGACATCATAATAAACAATGCCCTCTACTCTCCAAGAATTTAAGGTCTAGGCAAAGAAGGTCTATGTATACAATTATAAGGTAAAGTTTTCAGAGTGATGATAGAAGCAAACACAACGCGCAGAAGTTAAAAAGCAGAAGTGTTTAATTATAAAAGAGCAAGTATAAGAAAATTAGGGAGAATTCTCTACAACAGATGATACTTGAGCTGGATCTCAGTAGATGAGTTTTTTCAGGGAGACAGAAGGAAATCTCTATGCACACAGAAAGAAAGTCATTTAGAAGAAGATAGAAAGCCACATGGGACTTCCAAAGAATTACAAATAGTTTACTGTTGCTATTAAGTGAGAAAAACTGCATGTATGATTAGAGTTGAATCTGGATATTGGCAGGTTCACCGTAGAAGGCACAAACTCCTAGAAAGTGTTCACAAGGAGATGATACACTTCTAGTGCATCTAGAGTGGTTGTACCTGACTGGCAAAGAGAAACATTTTAGGATAAGATTTCATGCACAGTGTTTTTCTGGAGAAATTTTGAATCTGTTCCTCTTCTTAACTTCCATTTTCTTTAATAAAACATTATTTTTTAAATAATAATTTTTAAAAGATTTTTTTTATATATATTTGAGAGAGAGAGAACACAAACAGAAGGAAAAGGCAGAGGGAAAGGGAGAAGCAAGTTCCTCCCTGAGCAGGGAGTCCCATACAGGGCTGGATCCGAGGAGCCCAGGATCATGAGCTGAAGGTAGACACTTAACCAACTGAGCCATCCAGGCACCCCTTAAAATAATTTTTGAGCACTTTCACTAGGAGCAAATTTTGGGTAACTAGCATATGTTATTTATTTCAGTCTCCCCATCCTGACAGGTAAATTTTTATCGTCTTTTTACAGATTAAGAAATGTAGACTCATAGTAATGAAGCAATTTGACCAAAACCACCCAGCTTGTAAGCTGCTCTAATTCCCCAACTATTCTTGTGCAAGTAGGTCTTACTACAGTGAAAAGAAACCAAGATTTGGATCCTAAGAAATGCAGTACGATAATTACACTACCCAAATTAATTTAAATTAAGAGAGTTGAAGAAGCAAGTCCAAGCCACATTTTTTGAGGAAACAGAGACAAAGGTCTGAAAAAGTATAACAAATGGCAAGTCATTAGAATTGGATTATAATGGCATATGGACACAAGCATTATGAATTCTGAATCTGAATGGAAACAGTTAAGCTAAGGAGAAGGATTGCAGATGATTGCCAAAATTTGTGGGCCAAACTTATCACTAGATTGTAAGCTCTATGAAATCAGGGATTTTCATATGTTTTTCCTTCCAAAGCCCCAATGCTTAGAAGAGTGGTTTGCCCAGCTCCCTGGCATGTAACTGACTCAAACTAGGTTAAAAACACAATCTTACAGCAAACTGTTCTAAAGACATGGACAGTTAGTTTACATAGGAAGCACAAAAGTCTCTTAGTCATATAGGAAGATGTTCATACATCATTCATGGTAAAAGAAATGCAAATTAAACTATGCAGAAATACCATTTCTCACCCATTAGACAGCCAATGGCCAAATATTTGACAATGTACTTTGGAGCTGTGGACAGATAGGCATGGTGATATAATGCTGGTGGGAATGTAGAATGTTACAACTTCAACAGAGGGAAATTTGGCAATATATAGCAAAATTACATATGCATTTCTCTTTCACCCAGCAATACCAATTCTCATAATCTATCCTAAAGATACACAGGCAACAATATGAAAAGAATATATGCACAGGCTTTTCATTACATTGTGATAACAAGACTTTTAGAAATAACCCAAAGGCCTCTTGTAGGGGATTAGTTTTCTAAACTATGGTACATCCACAAAATAAAAGATTTTATTTATATATTTGAGATATATTATATATATAATGAAACTCTTAAAAAGAATAAGGGATAGCTCTATAAACTGTTATGGAGTAATCTCCATGGTATATTGTTAAGTGGAAAAAGCAGGATACATAAAATTGTATATAGTACACTACTGTTCATCTAAGCTATGATGGGAGAGATACATATGGGTGTGTGTGTGTGTGTGTGTGTGTGTGTGTGTTCTTTCTTTCCTTACTTATAATTTCAAAACTAAATGGACAAAATAAGAACAAAAATAGAAATGGTCTCTGATTTTATAGATTTGACTTTGGAACCATGTAATCATTTTACACAATTATAAAGCATAATCAAATTACTTGTAAAAACTAAAATTATTAAGCAAAGTGAAACAAATGAACCTAACTAACTGCATGTAGAATTGGCTACATAACCACATATAGAGCAGCTATTCCAACTGACTTTCAAAGCACAGCAATTTGACTATATGCTGCTAGTGCAATATACTTAATGGCATAAATAATTCCAAAAAAATCTTTATTTTCAATAATCAAATTGCTAATGGTAGTGGAAACTACACTGGAAAACTTCTGGCAATTCTTTTAAAAGTCAAACATGTGCCCACTGTTACCTGACCATTCCAACCCTAGGTATTTACTTAAGAGAAATGAAAACATATGTCCACACAAAGACTTGTGCATAAATGTTCATAGCAGCTTCATTCACAATAACAAAAAGCTGGACACAACCTAAATACCAATCAGCAGATAAATGGATAGATTTTCCCTATAAAGGAATATGACTCAGCAACAAAAGGAACCACAGCAACATTGATGATTCTCAAACTCATTGTTGGGTGAAACAAGCAGACACAAAGAGTATACAGCTATACCTTACACAAAGGAGTCCTACGAATGTGAAATGCTAACTAATCTGATGCCAAACAAATGGGGACGAAGGCAAAGATGGGCTGCAAACATACATGGAGGAATGTTTGGCAAATGATGAAAATGTTCTGTATCTTGTTTGTGAGGATTCAAAGGATATGTCAAAACTCATCAAATATGAGTATGTATCAAATATGTAATATGTACCTTTTAAATGGGCACAGTTAATTATACATAATTGTCCCTCAATAGAAGTAAATATAGTATCAGAAACATCAGATTTTAACACACATAACATTAGAACATGCATCCACACAAACACAAAACAAAATACAAATGGAAAAACCCTTGATGCTGAAAATAAGGTTTTAAAAAAACCCTTTTCCATCTAAGTTAAAAGCATCAGTAGAAGTAAGATTGTTTTGTGATTTTAGTACAAATGAAACTTCTTACTCACTTTGAGCACCAGAAGTTTCCTTTCCCAGTCGTCATTGTCATAAGCCTGAACAAGTGTCTATCACCCACACAACAGACATTGTATGGGCATGACTGTGCAAAGCTATACTCCAAAGGCTTCCTCCAGTTCGGAGGCGGGGGGGGAGGGGGGTGCTCTCAGAAAGAGCACATGGCTTTTTTGTGAGGTTAAACAGTTTTTATCTATTCTAAAATCCTGTGGTCTGCTGTCCTGACTAAAAAAGTGAGAGATAGGCATTGTTGATATTTCACCACTCCCAATAAAAACCCTTGACTGAATAACTAATAGTAACCTAATTAGAATGTGGACCATGCCATATTCCAATAGTTACTATAGTTGCTAAGATTCATGTATTATTTCCAGTGTATGGGGATGGGAAATGGAAAAGTTAAAGACTTCTCACCCTTTCATTCATTTGCAGATTTTTTTAGGAGAAGGCAAGCAAAGCAGTAAGGAGGTTAATAAAATGAATTTTAAGCTAAAATAATGCTTAATTATAGGCAAAACTGGAGCCTAAAGTACTTGGCTATGCTCTAATAAGATTCCCATATATCTGCAAAAGAGAATCATATAGTATAGTTCTATTTTTGCATTTCTTTTGACATTTCTGTATAGAACTTGGGGCCTCTAAGCTAGTACTAACTAACTAGAAGTCATTCCTATTGCTTATTATGGTCTTTCCATCTTCATTTGTCATCTTGTTTTTTAACATTGAATGATTTTACTACTTTAAAAAAACAGAATATAGAATATATTGAAATACATTTCAATACATTGAAATCTATGGAAATATTGTGATATTTTACATAAGGAAAACCAAATAATATGATTATTTCATTCTACATTTTATATTTCGGTCTTTCAAACTTCAAAACTCTACAAATTATTTTAACAAATATAGTGCTGGACCATCTTGGATTAAGCAATGGCTGCAAAATATGAGAGATATGAGTTTTACTTCTTACTCTGCTTCTTTTTTGAATCATTTGAAGTGAATTCATATGCTCTAGGTTTCCCCTCTGCAAAATGCAGACTATCGTTCT